GTAATTATGCATAAGTACAACTTATTAAAGCTCGATGTTTGAATTCGTATAAATAACTGCGGATAAACATAATCAAATAAAGAATGAACATCTCATTTTAAAATACAAAAAATCTAAAATATAATTAGAATAATTATCGAGTTCCAACAAAATAAATAATTATTATCTTTATAAAAAAATTATATTATTAAACCAAATATAAATTACATCGTTATTGTACATAAATTAAATAAAAAAATTGAATTAAAAAATTACAGAAAAAATGAGGAATTTCAAATAGTTAATTTGATATTAATATCGATATATTTTTGTCAAATTTTTATGATATCTTTAAACATATATTTTATTTAAAAATAAATATTATCGCTTTCTCAAAATCACATAAAGCCATATTATAACATCGACTGAGATAAAGAATAAAATGAAATATTAAAATCACGATGTATATCGTTGCATTACACGAGTACGCTCATAGTATATACTATTGTATGGATGCTCGGAATCTTAAAATCATCTTCATTATAGAAAGTTCTTATAAAAACCTCACATTTTTGAGTTATTGTATAAGAACTTTGGTTCGTACTTTGAAGTCGGTGTGAAATAACAATTTACTAGTTTTTTTATATATATTTTATTGACTTTTGTATTATATGGGATCAAACTGTTTTTGTGAGACAATGTGAGACTTACAATAAAAATGTTGTGAAAGTAAATCTTCATCGTGTTTTTTGCTGTAAAGGTTCATTGTTTTTTATACCTTCACAATGAATTGTAGTGAAGTTTCAATATTATTTTGTGGTCTCACGGGTCTCACAAAAATAGATTGGTCTGACATGAACTCAATTCTCTCTCTCTCTCTCTCTCTCTATATATATATATATATATATATGGTACATTTCAAATGCAACCATGTCCATTTGTACAACCAATGCAACTCAATCAATTGAGATATTTATGAAAATAATAAGTGTTCATTTATTATAATTTGAATATATATGGAAGATAAATAAAGTTCATTAATTATGATCAATACTTTATATTATGAAACAATCAAAACTTTTATGAAATTATATATTTATCAAATTAAATGGATGGTTGAAATTGATTTATATTAAATATACAAATATAAATGATTAAATAATAACTTACTCCCCTCTTTCTCTCTCTATATATAACTTATACTATACATATACATACAAAATAGATCATATAGGTTATTAATTTAATAAATGGGTTGTAATAACAACCTCCCTTGGAGATGCTATAAAAACCTCCCTTGGAGATGCTATAGTAACAAGCTAATTAATAGTGGGCCTCCAACCTTGAATAGGGACAGAATCCAGATATTGATGGACGGAGCCGCTGTACTCGCAAACGCCGCCACCACCACCACCACCGCTGGTCGTGGTGTTCGTCGAGAAAGTGCTAATGGTGGTTCTCTCTCCCGATCTCCCTACCTGACGACTAATTTTTCTTTTCTTCCTCATAATAGCAAGGTAATTTTGTGGTTGTTTTTTCGGTTATCTGAATTTTTTTAGCGATTTATCGTTAAAAGTTTCTAATGTTTAGATTGTTGGTTGTTTCGTAGTGGTTATGAAAAATGACCACACACAAATATTTGTGTGTTGGAAAAATAAGACGTCTGATTTTTGAATTTCGAATTGTATCTCTGTTTTCTGTTTTTGTGAAATGGGAAAGTATTCTGTTGTAATGAGATTCGGACTTTCTTTTGATTATATGGCTATGGAAGCAGCTTCAAAATCAGCTGCGTTTTACTTTGAAGAATGCTCCTACCACTTACGGCATTAGCAATGCACGAGCTGTTCGAGTGGACTCTCCCCTCAGGTGCCCTTCCCAAAAAAATGCTGAAGCTCAGTTTTCTCTGATACTAATTAATCTTCTGTGTACACACACAGAAATACACACACCCAGTTTTTTGATGCAGCGACAATAGATATCTATAGTTTGAATTTAAAGCGTTTGTGAGCTTGTATAATAACTAGTGCTTTTTTTTATAACTCAGCAGTGTACCAAGTGAGGCAGTTGACATTGATTGGGACGCCCTTGGATTTGGGTTGGTGCACACCGATTATATGTACACCATGAAATGTTCTCTAGGCGGTAATTTCTCTAACGGCGAACTAGTGCCTTTTGGGAACATCGAGATCAACCCATCTGCTGGAGTCCTGAATTATGGCCAAGTTTGTTCTTGAAACTCTGATATGTATATGGGTATATAATGAACATGTTATTTGCTTCATATAGGCTTTTGAAGATCTAAAGAAGCATGGGACTTTTATAAATGGTGGTTGCAGTACATTATGTTTTCTAGTAATTGTGCGCTTCCTATTATTTCTGCTATTTTAATGTAGAATTTGGTTTCACTTTTAAGTTGGAAGCCCTTGGTTGACCTACAAAAAAGCTTGTGTTTTGGGAGGTTTGTCCATAAGTAGTATTTGTTGCTAGATATCCTTCTAGAAACCATGTCTTCGTATATTCTACATAATATGTTAGAACTTAGAATTTTATCACCTTGCACCATTAATGTCGTTAAATAGTGCAAATTTATCCTTCGTTCCAGCTATTTTTCAAATTGGAGTTGGATGCTAAAAGTTTAGCAATTTTCATCATTTTATTTTGGGCAGCTGGTTGCAGTTTCATCATCATTTTTACAAGTATTATTGCTTAAAATGGACTTTGGAAAATCTAGTTGAGCTCCAAGAGAGTTTTTATAAATAGTTCTTGAGATCTTGTAGCAAAATGATCTTATATGTTCTGTTAATTCTGTCACTGTTTCACATGAACAAAAGAGACTACTTGCCTTGGTTTTTTAAATTTAACGTGGTCTACTACTGTTATAACTAAATTATGGTTTCCCTTTCGTAATTCCGCAGGGACTGTTTGAAGGTCTAAAAGCATATAGGAGGGAAGATGGTAATATTTTACTGTTTCGTCCCAAGGAAAATGCTACAAGGATGATGATGGGGGCAGAGCGTATGTGTATGCCTTCTCCTTCCGTTGACCAGTTCCTGCAAGCTGTGAAGGCTACTGTATTGGCAAATGAAAGATGGGTAATGCAAAGTTTTTGATTTACAAAAACTTCAAACAGATCCTGATAGATATTGTGTCTATGACTTCATTGAGATCCTTGACTTTTTGGTGCCTTGTTTTAGATACCCCCTCCTGGCAAAGGCTCGCTGTATATAAGGCCACTGCTTATGGGGACTGGAAGTATACTTGGTCTTGGACCAGCTCCGGAGTATACTTTTCTGATTTATGTTTCTCCTGTTGGTAACTATTTCAAGGTATGTTGTTTATATCCTCTATGCTTGCCTATTTGTTTTCATTTCAATATACACTCCAGTAACTAGAGAACGTACATTGCAGTCTAATTGATGGTCTGAATTCCGTCAGTAATTTTGCTTGCAACTGCGCATTGTCATTTTTTCGTATGTTCCACCTGGCATAAGGGTCTTTTTCCCTTAACAATTTTGCATTGTCATATATTGTTCTCATCAATTGTGCTCTTGACATTCAGTGTTAAATTCTTATGATACACTGTGTATCATTATATTTGAATAAATTCAACCCTAGTTAATTTTGGTGTGATAGGGAATATATACTTCATATGAAAAAAAATTGATGTATATATGTTATGATTAGATACCATAATGATTCTTATGAGTTCATACCCACATCACACTTGATATTAATATATCGTTTGATTCTATATTCAATTTAACCCTCTGATGATTCAAAGATGAAATATTTCAATTAGCCTTTAACGAATTTCGCATATGATAGGTCGTAATAATCACAAATCCCTCTTCTGATATTGTATAGACAAATAGCGTAATGCTTGAGGATGGTTTATTCATGGATTCAAGGCCTTCGTATTATTAACCTATCCATATTGGTTTACAAGTGATTGTTTCTCACCAAAATGTTCTTGTATCATGTAGACAACCATTGTAGTTCTATACTATTGTCATGATGGTTTCATCCCAAGGAGGGAATACTTATCTAAAGTGAATGTTGCCTTCTGAAATGACCGATCACACCCACTTACAGATATCATGCAGTTTTCTATTTGCATAAAGGTTGCTTTGGAAGGTCAGACTTCTTGACAAAAAAATACCATGATATAAATTTACCATGGGAGGTTCTTAATTTACATGCAAGTTAGATTTAGCTCTATGTGATACTGATGGTCCTCCTAAAGGTTCATCAAAATCTTTTTTCATGGTCATCTATGGTATGCTCTTGATTTGTCATTCAAGTTCCACGTAAAAATAGAGTGTAGTTTTACATAAGATGTTTGTATTTATTTGAATGCTCTATTCAGATGTGAATGTGTTCTTTCTCTCACCCCTTTATATCTGATGCCAGGAAGGGTTGTCACCAATAAACTTGCTAGTTGAGACTGATATGCATCGAGCATGCCCTGGTGGTACTGGAGGTGTAAAGACCATAGGAAACTATGCCGCGGTAAGCATGTCCATCAGTGCTAGTTTCTTGATTTTCAATTTAAAATCTCCATTTATTCTTTCTAAGCACTAATGCCAATAATTTTTAGTGCAATGGTAAGGTTGTTTTGTTGTATATTAAGTATCAAACCCATCCTAGGCTTTGCATTGGGAGAGCCTTAATACTACCTATGTATCTTGTCATTTGTACATTAATGATCCGTGATCGCTAGTTTAACTTTTATCGGCTATGTCTTCTGTGGCTTAGTAACATAACTTAGTCTAAAATTCTATCAATTTCTTAGTATCTGACAAGGAATTAACAGTACCTCTTTCACAGATTAAGCTACAAATCAAGTATGTAACTGGAGCGCATCTTTCTGCTCAAAACATTATGAGGTGTTTGTAGAAGAGGCCTCCTATTGTACAAAAATGAAGTTTGGCATTTTATTCGTATCTTGTAGGTTCTGAAGGCACAAGGTGCGGCAAAAGCCAAAGGCTTTTCTGATGTTTTATATCTCAATAGTGTGAACAAGAAGTTATTGGAAGAGGTCTCCTCTTGTAATATTTTTGTCGTAAAGGTATATCAAAGAAATGCCCATCATCTTATCTCACCTTTTTTATATTCTTTTTTCTTTTTTTCTAGGTGACCATGATCTTATCTCTCATGGTCTTCATTCTTATCTGTAAAGTCAATATGTTTCATATACCTAATATTGTTTTTATAAATGTGATATAGGGAAACACTATATCCACTCCTGAGATAGAAGGGACCATCCTTCCAGGTATCACGCGAAAGAGTATAATTGACATGGCTCGTGATCAAGGATTCCAGGTACTTGATTGTTCGCTCCCATTTTATGTGTTGTTTAGAGTTGAAAAAGGAGATATCAATTACTATCCTCAAGAAACCCACTCTCCCAATACCATATGTGTAGGTTTATCTGATTTAACAGAATTGCATCCATCTCAAACGTAATGCCCTTGACTAATAACAAAATAACGCAATTTTCTGGACCAATATCAATGTTATCAATTATTTCTTATCTATATTAGCATTTTGTTAAAAAGGACACCTTTTTTTAGACCAGCTGAAATGCCCATGAGGGTTTGCAAGTTTTATTGCCTGCAATTCACTAAGCAATAGGCAAGTGTGGATTTGTATCTAGATCCTTGTATGTCTTGAAGAAGTCTTAACACCTAAACTGAGCCCAACTAGATAGTTTAAGGTTAAATTACCTAAATGACCCCTAAAATATACCATTTTCTTGGCTTTTTGTTAAATGACCTTCTATGGCAGTCCCTTTTCTAGTGTTCTCTATTTCAAGATTTTATGAGGACAAAGTGATTAACACTAGAAACAATTCATTTGAAGGTTCTTGAGTTAATTTCTTTTTAAATATCGTGCTCCTAATTGAAGACTCGTTTAAGGCCATTTAAGTAAATAACCATCCTTTTTCTCTCTCCCTTGTATTGTCATACACAAACACACATACAAGGGGTGGCTACTGGGCACCAACATTGTGATTCGTATTCAGTATGAGCAAACATCTTAGAATGATTTAATCATCCCCCTGACCCCAACACTTTTGCCTATATACAGGTTTTTGAAAAACCAGTAACAGTGGACGAGTTGCTTGAGGCTGACGAAGTTTTTTGCACCGGAACTGCCGTGGTTGTCTCTCCTGTGGGTAGCATAACTTATCTTGGCAAAAGGTAAAGCCTTTGTTATACGGTTTTCCGTTTTATATCTTGCCTGGTTTATTCGTTTCATACAATCGAGTAAAAGTCGAACATAAATCAACATAACTTTATACCCTTAGCTCTTTTATCTTGACTGGAAAACTACATCTGTGCTTTAAAGAAATCTAAATGAACCTGCAACCTACAAATACCAAAGTATTATCAAATGAAGAACAGGGTGAGACTTGAATTCAACCATTGTAGACAAGTTTGTTTTCTCAAGCTGGGGCATAGAAACATCTACTCTATTCTGTTTATTATAACGTAATTATTCGATGTAAATGTTGATGATTCAGAGGGTGGTTGATGTGTGTGTGTGTGTGTGTGTGTGTGCAGGGTGACTTACGGAAGTGGTGGTGTAGGAGTTGTGTCGCAAAGACTCTACTCCGAATTGACGAGGCTGCAGATGGGTCTCGTAGACGACAAAATGGGTTGGACCGTTGAACTCAAGTAGCTTTTTTTTTTCTTTCTTTCATGCTTTGTAATATGATCTGCATGCACTATATTAATCTCAATAAAATGTCGTTTTACTAAGAATACAATGTTTAAAAAGTCATGTAAGGCTAACGGCATTTTAACTAAGGGGCTGTTTACTTTTTTTTCCTGTATCGTTTAGGTTGTCTGTTAGGATAAATTTGTTAGTCTAGAGGCGGAAGACCAATGGTTTGAAGGAAAGAGACATGGTTTGATTATTTATGGGGTTTTTTCTATTATTAATTTGTTTGAGATGACTTAATGGGTACAAGTGAAGGCTCCTGGCTTACTTCGTATAATCATTTTGGCTTAATGGCCAAAATGATTTGAACCCATGTTAGTTTTTTTTTTAAAACACAAAAGCAGATGAACTTAAAGAAATTTGACAAAAGCAAGACTTGAGATTGTTGTCTTTTATCTTAAATTTAAGAACAAACTTAAGAATAAGAAAGGATATATGGAAAAAGTTTTTATTGGCAACAATGTTAACCATCTCTACCTTTTCAAAGCATTAAGTTATACCATTAATTTAGTTTTAAAAAAAATATAAAGGTACCCGACGAAACAATACAATAACACTCTTTACTTCACAATTTTTTTACAATATGACCAAACCATGAAGTGGTGTTCCATGCCTCTTTGTAGGTCTGCCCTTGAGTAAGACAAAACAGATAAATTACTAAACCATAAATGTCAAATTGAAATCCTAAAATCCTTCACCTGTCTGCCTCGTTTTCTTTCGTCCAATTCCGTTCCGTCCATATAGAAATGGCCAAATGAGCCCCGCTTGACCAGTCCTGATGATCCTCAACCGGTTATGATTTTTAGGAAATTTCACAGCTCCATCCGACAAAACCGGTCCTTACATTTTAGAGGCCCTATATAAAAACCTAAATGTGGAATATTTTCTTGAGTTATTTGTTGAATTTTCTATTATTTAAATTCATAAATAAATTATTTTATATTAGAATATACGCAAAATTATAAAATTATTATAAACAAGATTCAAATAAAAATCAAACTGATCTTTATATGGTTAATTTTAGGGAAAATCACTAAAATGACCAAAATATACCTGATATATTAACAAAATAACCACTTTTTAGCAAAATTGCCAAAACGACCATCCGGATCTCCCCATGACCCGGGGGCGATCCCTCTTATTTTGACCAAAAATAATATAAAAAATATTTTTAATGGGTTCCACATTTAATTATATAAATTTTATATAACACAAAATAGTTTATTTATTTTTTACAGTAATAAATTGACATTATTATTTTTCAAAAGAAAACAAACAATCAGAAGTTACTATTTTTCCAAAAACAAACAAACAATTAAACATTACTATTTTCTGAACATAAATCTTTTAACATTATAAAAGCAAAATCATCTAACCATATTTTCATAATCAACATTTCCTAGAAGTACATCAAACAATCAAACAAAGTTAATAGAAAGATATTTACTTAATAGATTGAAATTTGTACCTTGAAAATGAAAGAATTTAAGGGACCGTTTACTAAATACTTACTTTGGCAAGTGCTTACCGGCTATATTACCTTATCGGTGAACATAACAAGGACCGAAAGTCTTACCCGGTAAGAGGGAAGACAATAATCTAGAGTCTAACCCAGTAAGTGAGAGTGATGACTCTTACTCGGTAAGTGCTTACCGGGTTATAAATGTTTGCCGGGTTATCCATTTTGATGGCAAGGAATGTTACTCCATAAGGCAAGTGAGAATGGTGATCATGCGGGTAAGAGCTTACCCAATAAACGTTTGATAAACGATCCCTACGAAAAAAACGTTACGAATTACTGGTGACGGCCGCAAAAGAAAATCAAATAAAGAAATTGGGGATTTTGGCCTTTGGCCTTTTGAAGGATAATTTAGAGGGTGAAATTTGATATGGGATCTCATAAGGTTTTAACAAAGAGAAATTTTATCAATAATAAAGAAAACAAATAATAAACATTATATACAAAAATATAAGATTTGTCAAAAAAAATCTTCAAATAATATATTTTTTACGTTCAAAATTGATTTTTGGGAGGAAAAAAGTTGAGACCGATTTAGACCCAACCAGGTACGGTTCTAGGGACTGGTTATAAAGCATGAAGACTAGGCCTTGGTATTTTGGTTAGGACCGGGACCGGTTATGAAAAGACAAATTAGGATCGGGACCGATTTAGGCTGGGTCCAACCTGGGACCATTTTTGGTCATCTCTTCGTTCATACAACAAATGGACCTAAAGAAGACACCAATGGCCTTATAGGATGCGTTTGGTACATTGGATAGGGACAGAACAAAACAGGACAGGGATCCCTGTCTCATATTTGACATGAATTTTATGTGAAACAGACATGAACAGAGTGGAACAAAGTGGAACATGTCTGTTCCACCCCTACCCCATGGAACAGAGTGGAACAAGATGAAACAGACTTATATTTTACCAATATAACCTCAAAATAAAACTTAATTCTCTTCTAAAACATCAAATAGGTCTCTCTTTTACATTTTATTCATTCTTTAAATTTTATTTATTGTATTTTATGTTTCTTAAACTTTCATTTTACTGTTCTCAAAATATTATTTTTATACGGTTTCTATATTTTTATTAATTTATGTAATTTATTATATATTAATAATAAAAAATAATGTAGAAAAGAGATAAAAATAAAAATAGAAAACCATGTAAACTTTTTATTTGGTGTCATTTTAATTGTTTTGACGAAAACTTCAAATGATATATTTTTGTTATAAAAAATAATTATTCTATTATAATTTAATAAATTACATAAATTGTTTTCTTGATTTTATCACCGTCAAACGTATTACGTAAGATTCACGCCTGCAATTTGTTATTTTCGATGAGTTTTGTATGTTTTCCCTTAATCAGAGTAGTAAATATTCGATTTTGATCTTACAGAAGTGATTGTAGGTGATATGTGAATTCTTTTGTTTTCTGGAAACCAAGTTTTGTGAATGTGATGATACTATATTGGATCACTAGTCAAATTGTTTTCTTGATGCTTAAATTTTATTTACTATTTGATATTTAATCCATTTTAATTGATTATACGCTTGGTAGTAGTAGTTTCTTCTTCTTAGTATTGAATGCATATAGATTTGCTTCGATAATGAATTCTTGATGCTTATATTATATTTACCCTTTTTCATATATCATTAGTTGATTATGAAATCATGTATTTTTGCAAATGTATTTTTGCTAGTAGTAGTTTGATGTAAGTTATACTTTGCACATTGTATTTGTTAACATTTGTATTGATTATTTAGTGAAAAAAACACTAAACAGCTTATTGGGGGGTAAATTAGTCATTTTAACCAGTTTTGTTCAGTCCTGTCATGTCTTACTAAACGCTGAACAACTGTCCTGTCCTGTTCTGTACTGTTCCGTCATATCCTGTCTGCATACTAAACGCACAAGACACCGACGACCTTGGCATTTGAGGTCGAGGCAAATCTGGCTCAAATTTTTCGAGCATTTAACGAGTTGCTCAAGCTCATTTCTATTTTCAAAACAAGATAAAGTTCGTCTAACTTAACGAGTCGAGTTGAGCTACGCCATACGATAATACATTTTTTTGAACAAAAAACATTCATATATTTATAAAAATACAATTAAAATATCGAGCTCAATCTACTAAATAAGTTCATAGATCTCGAGTTCAAGCCCATAAATGAGCTTATGAACCTAATTTTATGTCATAAAGTTGAGTTCAAAATTGTGAGCATCAAGCTCGAGCACTATTTTGAAAAAAAAAACAATTCATACTCAAGTCGAACTCGAACCTCATATTGTTTTCTCGAGCGTAACCCGAACAATCAGCTATTCGACTCGACTCGACTCAACTCCACTCGTTAACACTCATTCTCAAGTCCCCTAAAAAAAACTAGGCTCACCCAGGTCATTTTTTGAGCCGGATGCACCCAAACATTTACAAGATTATCATTCGAAAAATGGAAGTGAATTCACGAGCTAAACGCTAGCTACGGAATCGCAATTCCGCAATCCTAGTAATTAACCAACCAAAATTTCACAAAGAAATGATCAGAAATCGATCACCAGAATCTCCATGGATCCTTGTATGGTGGAACATAGTTTTCAGTAGGAGGGAGAAGCCTAAAAGAAGCCACGGTTTTTTCGAGCACCGGCCCCATCTGTTTCAAACAAATAACAAACACCAAGTTAGATCACAATCGGTTTTTCGAATACAAGCCCGTCTGTTTTACACACTTGTACACTGAAATTTAAAGGGTAAGATGTGTACAGACGTTATCTCTATCCCAAGGGCTAGAGCGGTTGTTTCTGTAAAGGCCCCGGCTTGTAAAATGTTTTTGAAACGTGATTTTGTGAGATTCATTTGGTTCTAAAAGTTAGAAAAAAGTTTGAAATAGAGCGGAGAGATCAAACATGAATGGAAGAAAAGCAGGTAAGGATAGTCGAAGAAAAGGTAACGAGCAAGGAAGAGAGCTAAAGCACATACGAACTATAAAGTGCATACGAGAAGGTACTAAACCACTTAACTAGCTAAGGACGAAGTAGCTGCTGACTATCTAACTCTGCCTCAATCTAAGACTCTGGTACGTACCCGCCCTTCCTAGCACAACGATACCTAACCTTTTTGCTTTCTAACCCATCCCAACTACCTCTCTGCCCCCTACCCCCGCCCCCGTTAACCACGACTCCTTATACACATTCTGCTACCCTAGAGCATATTCATCGACCAACCTGCCTTTATGCGATGAGTGTGTTCATCGACCTCACCCTCATTCTGAATCATAGAGCCTGAATTTCTTAATGTGGTCCTTTTGACCCCTATGCTGATTTGTACCCCATCTCCATTACACTCCCTACTATAATTGCACCAAATGTACTCGGTCTTGGACCGACGAATGTGCAAGTCTTGTGCCTCCAATGCCGACCTCCCCAACCTATCATTCACCTCTCTTTTAGCTTTCGCTACCGATACTATGTCGTCCGCAAATAACATACACCATGGGACAAACGCTCTGCCTTACGAAATTTCATCCAAAATCACGGTAAAGAGGAATGAGCTTAGTGTTGAACACTGGTGCAGGCCTATCTCCACCGACAATTACTCTGTCTCACCAACTGGGGTCTTGATGGAGATCATTGTTCCTTCGTACATATCTTGGATCGTACAGACATACCTCCATGCTCCTCCAAATCATGTCTCGGAGTATGCTATCATAATTCTAGGTCTATAAAAACCGTGTAGATCCTTACTGCATTCTCCATACTATTCCACAAGGCATCTAATGAGGTGGATTGCCTCCATTGTCAACCTCCATGGAGTGAAGCCAAATTGGTTATTTGTCACCTCCATTTCTTGCCTTAACCTCAATCAATCGTTCAGTAGCTTAATACATCGACCACTTCTGCATAACGGCACCACCACACCAAGTCTTTACTCTCCGAGCATGTTGGAGGTCATAAGAATTACGTTAAAGTGCTTTGCTAGCCATTGCGTACTCTCCTCCCCCAATCAAGCCAAACATACCCAATATATCCCAACTGGAAGTGGAGTATGGGGGTAAAGACAAAAAGGTCGTTTGCCTATTTCCGAGAAGACCTAATAACCTTATATAAATATGTAGGAGTGTCCGGTAAAGAACAACACTCTGCCAGCTAACGACCTAAGCGATTCTTATTACTAACCACATGCTCAATCACAGAGACTATAACGAAACACATTTACAATCAATAGATATACTCATATATAAGGGGTAAAGGTGGGGTAGGGAGAGAGAATTACCATGTCCCATTGCTTGTTGAGTGTCGAAGCATTCAAAGTGTACAAAAATCCTACAAACAAGTACTTCAATGTGTTAAAAAGTGTAGGAAGGGGGATTCTTGTGTAACAAGGAACCCCTCATCTTTCTCAAGGTTGGGGAGGGAAGTCTCTATATGTAACTTCTCACTCAAAGTTTGCATAATGGGTAAACCAAACCAAACCAAACCCAGTATATCCCACTCGAAAGTAGGGTCTAGGGGGTGGGATGTGCGCAGAATATAATGTTATTTTTTCTTTTTGAAAAAACAATGGTTCATTTCTAAAAAAGAAAAAACAAGTATGATGGTCTGATAAGTTGATTGCTCTTTGCAAAGAGGCTATTTGACCTTCCGGTCAAAAAGAGTAACCTTAGTTACTCCAAGATTATCCCTTGGATTAACAAGAGGCTCGTTGGCTAAAAGAAAAAAGAACAGGATTGCACCATCACGTTCGACAGATGCAGCGACATAATGCCGAAAGATATTCGAGTCTTGCACCTGCATTTTTCGACATTAATGAACACTATTTAGTATATTTTCAAGCTAGAGCACAAGTTTTTAAGTAAACATGAGAAACATACAGTTTTTGTAGGTGACTTGCGAACTAGGTATTCATAGTACCAATATGGTTCACCATCGATCTAATATACAAAAAGAAGAGTTGAATGTGAGCAGATAGAGGTATAAACACAAACTAGCGTAGCTCTTCAATTACGAAATTAAGTTAGCACATGATGGAGGCTTTGAGAACTCACTTCCGAAGTGTGAGCATCAAGAACTGAACTTTCTGCCATGCGTTGACTTGAGGTAACTCGCTGTACAAAATTAAACCACGATTATCACGAAAGTATTTGAATTGTTGAGTCTTGAATCTTTTCTCTATAAAAGTGGCTGAAAACACATTTACAATTTCGACAAGTTTATAGAGGAAGGTTCTTAGCCAGAATGCTTCTATGGAAGGGAGGAAGTGTGTAGAAGGTTTCGAATTAAGTTACATATAAAAAGCAAATGTATTTCAGCAGTGTGAGAATGTGGAATCCCTTTTGAATCTCTCTCTAAAACACCCTTATAAAGAGGAGGAGGTTCTTTATACACGCACACACACAAATACAAGTTTGATGGTTTGCGTCTAACCGATGTGCGACTCCAACATGCCCCCTCAAATTGAGGCTTGACGGTTCCTCCAAGAACGAAAGAGTATGTCAAGTCCTAGATGGTGCTAGACTCGGACTCTGATACTATCTGAGGATAAGTGGAATCCTTTGAATTTCTCTCTAAAGATAACTTGTAGAGAGGGAAGGTTACTACATATATACAAGTTTGATGCTCGTGTCTGGCTGATGTGGGAACTCCAACAAGCAGAAAGTACGGTAACATATATGCAGAATAGCTAAGAACATCCATGATATGTTTCTTAAAATATATATAGAAAATTAGTAAATTACCAAAGCAGACTTGTCAGATAACACAGAATCAGCAACGTCCTTCGCTTCCCATGTAGTCTTATCTTCTGACTTTAAGAATATTGGATTGGGGGGACCTATCTGAATGCATGATGCAAAAGAAATCGGTAAGAAGGAAATTCAGTAGAAGAATTCCTTAGCATTCTGAGAGTGAAGTTGGTCGCCAGTACCGTAATAGAAAGAATGAGGTTGTCAATAAAATCAACACGTTCAGACACAATCCGTAGCCGTGCATTAGCTGTATATGATTGGAGATACTTCTTCATGAGTTTGAGTACATAACTTCAAGTCCTTTAGAATCATACACAACACACACACACACACATATATAACTTTCCGTCTCAGAAGAAAGCAAGCTGCCAACTTACGAGACAGAGGTGCTGCAGATGAATAGCGTTCGGGTTTTCTCGACTCCACCCTTCAGATAGATGAAAACCATTAGATAAATACACCTCAAAAAGAATCAAATAATGCAGCATTAACTTTGTGCATATCATATACTCCCTCCGTTCCGTGGACATTCACCTCTTTGGGACGTCTAGTGAAATTGCAAGATATCTGTTTCTAGAAATATTCAAAGTCAAATTTATCAAGTTCTGCAAAAAGGGTATGACGCCACCCTCTGTAGCACCCCACTGTACCACTCCCACAACCATCACGGGGAGGTAAATCACGTGTCCCAGGGGGATGTGGTTGGTGCCAGGAGTCAAACCCAACTCTTGCACTCATTCTACAATGATGCCACCTCCTTACCTGCTAGGCTAAAATCGTGGGGACCAAATTTACCTATTTGCTAATTACAAAGTTATCTATGTAAACAGTGTTGTAAACATATGATGAATAGTCAACCATTTTACTTGAATTATGTACCAAGTCGAATGGAATATCAAGTAGGATGTTCTCCTTTCACCCATAGAAATTGCAACGTTTAACTTTGCATAGTCCAAGGAGATTGTTTGACTATTTGTCAAATATCCTAAATTCCCATCAGTGAAAACAAAATAAAGGAACCTTATGGACCAAAATCATGAGGTCTACGTACATCTCCCCCCCCCCCCCAAAAAAAAGCCTACTTCCGGATGGGATATACTGGGTTTGTTTGGTTTGGTTTATGGACTCAAGTCAATACTATCAGTTTATTTGTAACAATGATAATGGGAAAATACAAAGTTTAGCATGCGTTGCAATTTTCATGGGATGGAAGAAGTAGATGCTTAGAAGCGACGTGTTTTAGTTTGATTTCAGTCACAAGATCCTGATAAGGTGTGGGAACAGAAGTAAGCATTCAGTTCATAAAGATGAGATGCTAACCATTTAAAGAAAAATTTCTTGGAAGGCATTTCCAAAGGAATCAGATATGAATAAGCATTTAGATCATCAACTATTGGAGCCATTTTTAACTCTTCATCAGCACCCGATCCTGAAAAGTACAAGTAACTTATGAAAGATGATCCTAAGACAAACCATAGCAACCCTTTTTAACCAACTATTGTTCACATCATGGAATCCAAATTCACCAATGGTGAGTGCCCAAACCTGAACCCAATTGTTCATGGGCCATGTGACCAAATTTGGTAGTTTGTGACTGTTAGTGACAGTTTATCGTTGTTGAGAACACTTATTTTGTATATAATAACATCACTATAAATAGTTAAGGACTGCAAATTTGATCGAAAGTATCAGAGCATACATAGAGAAAGAATTATGCAGAGAAGCATGTGTAAACACATTGCAGAAAAGATAGCCCAACAGGTACCCACTCAGAAATCTGAAAAGGGTACAACAGGAATATGTTATCCTATTTGCCACTACCTTCGGTACAACCAGCAAAGGAGTTCTACCCTAATGTCTCCATATTTCTCAAGGAATTCAAGTAAAACCATCAAGTTTTCATACTTTCATGTTTACATGAATTCCTACACCAACAACTGTTATTAAATTTCAAAGTTAAAAGGTAGCCAGTTAGACACATAAAAGTCAAATATGGACTCTATTCTTAGCATGAATTTAGTAGGTTTCTACTATCCCAATAACATAAACAGTAATGAATCCTTGTAACATATCAAGGTCATCAAAAGCAAAAGATATCACTTAAAAAGAAGGATAAAAGTTGACAAGAGACGAAGCATGATCTCAATGAAGCAATTAAAAGATCCCAACCAAGTATAGGATTTGGGGTTCAAATACATTATATCTCCAATTCTTCAACCATAAGCATGAGAATGTTGAATTCTGCTTGTAAGTTAGACACAAAATGTACTGGGTCTTCACCCTGCTTCAACTTAGGACAACTAGCAGAGCTTGGAACTAATTTATTTTAAATTCAAAACCAAACTAGGACAACTAGCAATTCTACTAGGAATATGATTCGTGTCAATCTGGAGGTTAGAAAATAATTCATTAGACACTAAAATGTCAAATGAGACTATCTTTTCAAAAACTCCTAACAAATCCGAGTTTGAGAAGGGTAAAAATTATGCAGAAGATGAAACGAGTGAATTTTAATGGGTATTTACCTTCAACAGGGAAGACTGTAGCAACTGAAGCAGTAAATCCAAGTAGAATAATATCCCTTCTGCAAAACCCATTTTGGGAGGTGGGTTCTGAAAATTCACAAGAAGAAGATACAAATTTCTTGCTAGATTTACATATTTTTTGGTTTGATGAACTTATCTTAGCTTGGTCCCTGAAGAATACAAACACACGCACTCGTTATACATACAAGACCCAATGAGATAACATATATATATATATATATATATATAGAGAGAGAGAGAGAGAGAGAGAGAGAGAGAACCTGAAGAAGGAAAGGTTGGGATGGTTGGATATGGCGCGAGAATGTGAGGGAGAGAGGACGGTTTCCATGGCTCATCCACTTAGCTTTGTAAATTGTGAAAAAGAAGGATTGATCTAATGAATACAAGAAGAATAAAACCTTTTCTAGTCCTTGTAGTTTTACTTTTATACATTTAATACCCCTAACTAAAATACTCTACTTTAATGCTTACTCGATAAGTATTTAGTGTTAAGAGTTACCACTATGATTTATTTTATTGGGTAAGATTATAGTACATTAAAATGTATCATATACAACAATTTACCTGGTAAATGTTTTACCCAAGTAAGAGTCGTCACTTTCACTTATCGGATAAGACTCTTCATCCTTCTCATCGCTCTTACCGGATAAGATTTTTGGCCCTTGTCATGTTCATCCGATGAGAAAATTACCCGGTAAGTATTTACATATGCAAGTCCCATGAACCTACCAATTTCCGTAATGGTTTCCTAATTCAATAACCATTCCCTTTAAAATAATCTACAAACTAACACCATACGGTCTGGTGAAAACCACGGTCTGTTTTCAATGGTTTTTCACCAGACCTGTATATATAAAAACGACTACGAATAATATATATTTAAGAGCAACACAGTACATAAAATATTCAGCCAGAGTTGTTCTTTCTATCTATCTAAGGGATGGAAAAATTTCAGATGTTTTCCCTGGCTTTGTCCGTGTCAGCAAACAATTCGAAATACCTCGACACCCAGTCGGGAGATGTTTCGGCTTATATTCCTACTAACAAAATATATTTTGTAAATCTACAATTTCGTCAACATCTAGCCAATGAAATACATATATTAATTAAAGATTTAACAATCATATTAAATTAAAGGCATAAAAGAGTATCGGTTGGGTTTAAATGACCTTAACCCAATTTCAACTCAATACTTACGGTCTGTTAATTTACAAATCGATTAGGTGTCGAGTGACCTCGGGTTTGTTGAGTTGACTTGGGTCATTTTGGATTAGGTTGGCCTAGTTGGTCGCGTTTTTGTGCACCCTAGCTTTTTTTTATTAACCTGGATATCCAACCCCTATGCGAGCCGACTAATCTCAAGGCAATCACCTACTTTGCAGGTAGCTCGGAGTCACCGCATTTGAACCTCCGTAGCCACAAGAGGATTTTTATTCCTCTTTGGATTTGAACCTGTGATCTTCATGTACTTTTGACCTTTGGAGTCAGACTCAAATCAATCATGCACCACCCTAGTTGGTCGCGTTTTTGTGCACCCTAGCTTCCGGTTAGAGTTTTTGAAACAATCATATTTTGATTTAGAACACATACGTTTTGTATTTTAAAATTTTCAAATGGATTTATATGTTCATTGTATTTGGATTTGAATTTACGCAACTTGTATTTTGGCTTATAGACGTTTTTAGGTACTTGAATGTCGGCTGGATATTTTAAATGCTTTCTTATTGTTCTTGAATGTTTCCGCTTTTACATGTTTGAAGACGAATTTGGGTTAGATGTTTAGTTTGATGGAATGATTTTGAGGGATATAGATCACTACAAAAATTGAGGAATCAGCGATGAAATTCGTCGCAAATCTGTCGCTGATAGTCCGTCGGTCAAAAGCTCATAGGTAATGCTATCAGTGATAGGTGTTTTTGCGATGTTAGCTATAGAATACTTTACCGACAAATTTGCGACAGAAAAATTTCAGCGACGGATTAGCGATGGAGGCTTTTAGCGATGGGTTTGCAAGGGTCCAGGATATTTTAATCCGTCACTTTTTTAGTAATTTAAAAATAAATAATTTTAAAATTACATAATTTCTATATTTATTTATATAACACCTGCCTATAAGCATAGATCTAATTATCGCGGTTAGCGACCATCACGCATATATACATATCATATATACATATAACACATACGCGCACACACACACACACATATATATATATATATATGACATATATACATACATATGTGTACATATAACTCATAAAAAATGAGGAAAAAAAATAGCTAATCCCGTAAAATCTCTCACTGATGAGCAACAGATGTCACGTGTCCGTCGCTAATCCATTGCTCATCGGCGAGGAATTCGTGAGAGAATTGGTTTTTGGCCAATCCGTCGCTAATCAGCTATTGGCGAGGGAAAGACCAAAAACCAGCTCCGTCACTGATGAGCGAGGGATAGCATTTTTAGCCTATCCCTCGCAAATTTCTCACTGATTAACCACAATTTTTTTCCGTCGCTAATAACCGTTGTTGATACTCTATTTTCTAGTACTGAATTTCATGGAAGGATTTTACATTGAAGGGAATTTGGATTTGGAATCTTTGGTGTGTTTGGTTTGTAAAATTTGGATTGAATTCTTTAGAAGTAATTTATTAAAAAATTATAAAAATAATTAAATTACCCTTTTATTAATTGATTATTACAAAATAAATAATTTTAACATATTTTAAAACATTATTACATAAAAATCCTACGAAATTCCATGAAATATCAACCACAACCATGGGATTCCAAATCCCAGAAATCATTCAAATCAAACATGAGATTGAAATGGAATTCAATTTCAAATTCAATTCAATCATGTAAGCCAAACCGGACCTTAGGAGGCATTTGATTTGATTTTGAGAGATCTGGATTTCATAGAAAGATTTAAAATGATTTGAAATCTTTGGTGCATTTGGTTTGTAGGATTTGGAATGTAATTGAATTTTATTAGTTATAAAAACAAATTATAAAATAATTATAAAAATAAATGCTTTTAACATATTTTAAAACATTATTATATACAAAATCCCATGAAATACCAACTACCCTCATCAGATTTCAAAATCTCATGTTTGTGGGATTTTAAATCCATGAAATCCTTTAAACCAAACATGAGATTGGAATGGAATTCAATTCCAAATCCTTTCAGATCCATTCCAATTTTACAAACCAAAAAATATCAAGAAAAAGAGAGAGACAAAATGATCAACATGCTCTCATGTGAGGGGCACATGGCATTGCTTGAAGGTTGAAATATAGCAGTCATTCGGGGCAGCGATGAACGTCGTATGCAAACCGCAACGGTAGATTTGCAAAAAACAGAGTTCCAACAAATCACAAGAATGATTTTGTTATTCAGGGGCTACTTGTTTACCTTTAAATGGTTTCATTAAAAGGTAACTTCTGAATCGTTAAGAGGTGAATCTTGTTTAGCAAAAAAAAAAAAATGTTTGCATCTTAATGGATCTAAAACCCTCTGAATGATTTTGTATCATGAGTTTCCCTTAACCATTCGGCACCTTAATTCAATTGTAAACAATTACGGAACAATTATATTTCATTTTGCACTATATCATGAAAGTATTTTCATCATTCTGACCAGTTAATCATTCTGCACCAAACCATTCAGCAACTGTCATAAATAGAGTTCGTTACATTATATAAAAAAATTTAAAAGTTTGTCACATTAATTGTTACATTAAACAGGAACTAACGCAAATTTAATGATTGTTTGACAGTTGCTGAATGATATGGTATAGAATGGCTGTTTGGCAATTGCTGAATGGTTTGGTGCAGAATGATTAAGTGGTCAGAATGATTAAGAGGCTCTCATGATATAGTGCAAAATGAAATATAATTGTTTGGTAATTGTGTACAATGAAATTAGGGCTCTTTGGTAATCATTCAGAGGGTTTTAGAACCATTAAGAGACAGACTTTTTTTTGCCAAACAAGATTACCTCTTAACGATTCAGAGGCTGCCTCTTAATGCAACTATTAAGAGGTAAACAAACAACCCCAAACAATTGTTGAATGGTCTGATACATAATGATTAAGTGGTCAGAATGATTAAGTGACTCTTATAGTATAGAACAAAATGAAATTAATTATTTACAATGAAATTAAGACGCTAAATGGTTAAGGATGCCTAAAATACAAAATCATTCAGAGCATTTTAGAACTATTAAAAGACAGACTTTTGTTTTACCAAACAAGATTCACCTCTTAACAATTCAGAAGTTGTCTTTTAAATTTTATCAGTTCTTAAATTAAACAGAATTTAAATCGTCCAGCAAAAAGACGATACAATCGATGAGCATAAAACACCAAAACATTATTTTTAAAAGTATGGAGCAAAGCGTTACAAAACTAAACTACCATAAAAACAGAGAACCTAAAGCTACTTATCTACAACAGTCAAAACCCTCTGCCTCTAGGTTCATCGTGACGCCACTGCCCGCCATAGTACTGCCCTGGTACGGCCGTGTTGGGAGGCAGACCATGGGGGAGAGGCGGTTGCACCCAACTATTTTGCAACGGATTAACCGGCGGTCTAATAGGCATTACAGGAGTTACAGTTTGGTCCATTGCTGGCCTAATTTGGTTCACGAGATGAACCCTCGATAGCTCTTGAACACCGTGGTCAGGCACTGGCGGCTGCTGGCGGTTTTGGAGCTGCGGTTGCCATTCTGGTATATCATCGTCTTCATCTTGCCGCCAAGGCCGGTTTTCGATTCCAGAACCTCTATTTCCGTTCCAATTCGCAGCACCAGCACCAGCACCAGCACCAGAACCAGCTGGGTTGGTTCCGGTTTGACCATATTCATAAATAAGCTGTCTCATCTGAGCTACAGGTCTAGGAGGGGGGTTGGATGGAACAGTTCTTGACCCAAACACGGATTGGGCAGGTAACGTCTGCCCGGATGAGTTTGAGCCTTTGGAGAAACTAAACTCGGGCAAATCATCCTCATCCCGGGCAACAACGCCAGGACCAAATCCTGGTGGAATATCGTCATCATCGTCGTCGCCACCACCGCCACCATCATTGGGTTGTGGCGGCAATCGACTGTCCCTAGGTGGTTGACCATGGCCGAAAGTCAAAGATTTTGAATTTGTATTGGCATTTATATTTTCTTGTCTCCTAGATGATAAGTGTTTTCTATGATGTTTATGGTGAGAAGATGAATTAGGCAACATAGTAGGATGCGGTCTTCGCCAAACCACCACACCGATCAACCCGTTATCTGTCGGTTTGGTTATATCGGTCTGGTCTTTGGAGAGCAGCCGGCTGAGCATCTCGGTGATTCTTTTGTTGGGCGGACAGAAATAAAGCTCGACTCCTGGAATAGGTTCACCAAATCCTACCCTCTCTTCTGCTACATATGAATCCACAGCCTGCAAGTAACAAGATATGTCAAGACACTACCCTATGTGAAAAGACAAAAATGCCCTTATTCGGAAGAGTCTCACCTCAGAAAGACTGGCTCGGTGGATATCGGAAGAAGCATCCTTCAAAACAAAGTGTACAACCTGCAAAAAGAAGTGCAATTTTTACATCAAGATTCATCCAGAAAAATATCATTCAACGAACTCTGGTTTCTTTCATGTTGTTCAACCACCAAGACTAGAATGATGTGTCATAAATACGCCATGAAAATATCAATCAAACACCACCCGTTTTAATTTTCTGGGTTTTTCGGTACGATTTCAAGCATTCAATGCAAGTGAAGAATAAAGCAACAAATACAAGTCCTTTTCTCTGTCCGATTTCGTCGGACGTTCTTCGTTTGAGATTCATATATTGAAAAGCCTTTTCTTTTCTCTTTGATTCGTATGGATGGATCAAACATTTCTTGTACAGAAATCGAAAGCAAACCATATGATCATATCCAGTTATAGTCTTCAGTCATACCATGAAGAACAAAAACAACCTGCAAAGTAACTTTACAAGAAATCGATGCCATTTTGTATATTGAACTTGAAGAACAAAAAATGATTTACAAAGAGTTGGAAAGTGTAATTTGACCATTTACCCAGAATTGGTGATTGTTCTAATATCAATTGATGGTCTAACAAAAACAATGTCGTGTAATTCTCGTTTGTATAATGGATACCATTAGCCATAACAATCGTAGAGACAGTCTCCTGAGAGGAATATATGGCCATAAAAGGCGAACCAAGGAGAAGATCAAACGTAATTAGGATGAAAAGCAAGACCACTTGATAGTATACCATGACTGCACGGCTTCTGGACATGGGAAGTTCTTGGAGGAATTTCTCAAATGCATCCAGTCTGACTCTGCCCTTGATCTCCATAGAATCGGGCCACTCCTTTGTTGACGTTTTCTCACCACTAAAATGGGGAATAAGATATCAGTAAAACAGAGGCAACAACCAGTCTTTTAAAATCAACTAATAAACCAACACAACAAGATACAGTATATAGTCATTCCAAATGGTGAATCAAATGGGTAGTTTGATAATTTATCAATCTTGTTTCATCTCCCTATTTTTGTTCCACCTAATTTGATGGGATAAAGAAATGCAATTTTGTCCGGATCTCAGTCTAAATGATGCACCAAACATGAGACCAGTTTTTGTTCTATCTTGTATACCAAACGCACCCTTGAAAAACTTATCATTAATCAGAAACAGTCTGCTGACTAACATCTAAATAGAAGTAGATAAATAACATAATCCACCAACTCGACCGTTGTCAATTTACAAGAACTCCAAACTGGTGTGCAATCTATTAACCTCACCCATTATCATTACATAATTCCTGATATACCACGACTTAACAAATGTGCATCATTAGAAATGTGCAGTTGGGGTGAATGCCCAATTTTCAAGCTACAAAGAAACAATGGTCAAACTACTCAAACTGCAAAAGTGCTTTCAAAGCTTTTGATCATTTATATATCCACAACCACAAAGCTTTTGTACCAGACAGATGTTATCCAAAATTCGATAATATGAGACAACAGAACGTGTTTCAAGAGAAAAGGTATGCACATGTGTTGTTCCCATGAGAGAACGCATCATGCCAGAGATAAAAACTTGAAAAAAATTGAAGCAAAACCCAGACAACTGTAAAATAGAAAGTTCAACAACAAACTTTGGTATAGTTTAAAGAAAAGAACATGAAGGCATACCTTCTGAATAATCCAACAACCGATACAGCAGAAGAGAGAGTCAGCTGGAGATCACCTTCCCATAAATATTCGCCAGGCAAAAGTTTTCTTTCTGCGGAAGTTCCATTTCTTTTCGCACTGGATAACACTTCTGTGGTTTTTACATTTGATCCGTCATTTGTACGTGCTCCAGTCTCAACAGGATTTGCTGAAGTGATCCCAGGAGTCGCCTTCCCATTCCCAGTTTCTCCACCAGTTTCTGAGTTGTCCTTGACTGAGGGGAGCTTTGTTTCCTTACCATCCACAGGTAAGTTTTCAAAGGGAGGCTCAGTATTGAGGGATTCCATAAACTCGTCTAAAGAAACAATCGGTGGCAAGAATCCCTCATCCTTGAACTCATCAACAATTAGTTCTTGCATGAAATCAGTCCCATCAGTAGAAACAGTAACACTACTAGTAGCATCCAGTTTTTCTGAAGCAGCCTTATCACCTTCAGCAACCACTTTCTCTTTGACTTCTTCAGCTGCAGAAGAGATATGATCTGTTTTCTTCTTCTTTGGCCGAAACTGAGTGAGTGAGCTTGATCCTACAGAAACCTCAACAGAAACACCATCATCTTGCTCAACCTCTACTTGGTACTCACCTTTGTGTGTTTTCTTAACCAAACGTCTCATATCAACATCAGAATCCGGTAAAACTATCATTTTATCTAATTCCTCAGCTTTTGCCATTCGCCACTCTGAAAGCTCTTTAGAAGCAAGTTCCTCTGGCGTCATTGAACACAATCTTTCGGGAGAAATCTTACCAGATAGAACTTTTTCTCTCAGCTCAGGATTATTACGATCCTTCAAATTGAACATCAAAGACCTCCCCTTCTCTTTGTACTTCTTATTGACACCTCCAAACAATTTAAAGAGCTCTGCTTCAATTTTGAAAGCCAAATCTTGTGGAGAACTAATGACCTGTTCAATCCCACTTCCGCTCATGCCCATGTCATCCAACTTTTCTCTTTCCGCACCTTGACTCTGCTCAGTCCCATATCTACCCACATCCATTGACACTGAATTGGATTTTTCATCGGTTTGGACTTCCTTCAGTTCAGCTACCTCCATATCCCATGCCCACGAAAGCCCATTTCCCTGCAAAAGTTCATCCTTGACAAAGAATGTATCGCCAAATGAACTATCTGTGTCAGGCATGACATAGTTGTACTGAGGTTTTTGTCCATCACTTTTTCCTGTCTGGTCTAAATTTTGAATGTTCATTTCTGGAGCAGTCTCTCCAGCCGCGCTTCCACGGTCCTCCTGCTTATTATCTGGTGTCTCCTTCAGCTCCACATGGCTTCCAGGTGCTGCATCAGCTTCAACAGATGCAGACTGAGAATTCACATGTGATTGCATGGGAATGCTACTTGCTACCTCTTTATTAGGACCTTCCTCTTTATTCTGAGAGCCAACAGACAATGCAGCCGCCAACGTTTCCCTCATTTTCATCCGTACTGCTTCATATGACTCGCTCTGAATCTTTGGTGATACTTCTGTCGGTGCAGTCTTACTCTTTGATGTCTGCACCCGGGGAGACCCAGTCTTACCGGGCATTGACTCATTCCGCATCATTCTCTTGTTTGACGAACCAAGTGATCCTTGAGAATTAGGAACAGATTGCAATTGCACATGTTTCTTGTTTTGAGCAGAGAGAGGTGACAACCGAGGTGAATTTACATGAGCCTCCATCTGAACCATTCGTTTGTTTGGCGCCAATGTCTGCTGAGGCAAGGAATTATTGGGGAAGGGTTCTGCTGCAGCCTTCCGCTTCGAAGGTAATAATGCCGTCTGCAGGCCTACATTACTCCGCATGGTTCCCATCTCTCCAGCTTTCTGATTCGGCATTAACTGCTTGTCTGAAACCATTATGTTTCCTGTCTCTGAAACATTGGAAACCAGACATGATGCTGTGTTCTGCTGGTTTGGAACCACAAAATGAGATGCAGGATTGGTGGACATTGGAGCAGTGATGCCTGTCTGCATGTTCAACAGTGACAAGTCCTGATTAGAGACGGGTTCCATTTTCTGGAGAGGTCTTGATAATGGCTGTGATGTGAGACTGCTGAACATGCCTACTAAAGTCGACCATATGAGCTATCAAGCATGCACCCAAGTTCCAGAATTACAGTCTACAATACACAGAATTCAGAAATGTGAGAAACTTCAGTCGATATCTTCTATCATAACATGTAAAAGTGCCACTCGAAGATAGTCAGCATAACAAAGAAAAACTCTTATCAACCTATCTCATTCCATAACCAAAGGGGGGAGGGCAAGGAAATGAGCCACATATAAACTTAACATGATATATCAATACATATACACCATATACACGTATAGAAAGAAAGGAAGATGAAACAATCTTAGCACCTGTATGGCATAAGCTAAAATACATTGACCAAGACCATACTCCTTAGAGTGCACACAGCAGATATATTAGAACCCCAACACTCTTACCATTAAGCTCCAGACGTACATCACACTCCTCTTTGATAACCATCACCTCCTCTTAATATAAAGGCTAATTATCATAACTGTGTTACAGAATTAGAACTATCTCATCTGCCTAAAAACTTGCAGGTACAAAATATATAAAAATTCCACCCTCCAACTTAGACAACAGATTCATACACAGACCTGCAACCTTCATGACCAAACATATGTACAAAAACAGGTTACCAAAGACTTCACAAACCAATTAGCAGATAGCAGACAGAACGCATAAAGTTATTGAAGCGGCCACACATCCAAAGCATGATGTCAAATAACCAACATAACAAACTAGATAATAAATGGTTTGATTCCCATCCACATCACTACATCATGAAAAAGGTATAATCAGATGACAATAAGAAACCACGTATATGCTAACTTCATAAAATTCTATGTGCCATATTACTTGATAACAAGTGTCTTCTACCATCAACCTACCTCTATACCCATTCAAATCATTTCATCAACAGAAAAATGAGATCACATCAAAAAAAGGACCACAAGTACTAAGTCATAACTTATACTTGCATAAAAGGGTGAGAGTAGGATAACCCAATTGAAAGCCTAATGATCATTCATTTGCAATGCATTTTCGGTCCCATAATGGGCAACACAACCCCCAGGTTCAGGAGTACATCTACCTGTGCTACACCCATAAAAGAATAAGAAAGCAAGTAGTTAAGCAATGTCTTTCAAAGTCCTAGGTAAATGCTGGCAATTATTGCTGCTAGCTCTTAGTGCTTAAGTCATGGTAGCATCACATGAGGAGAAAGTGAAGACAGCAACCTAGCAATCATGATTCGGTATTGATGATTTGATTAATTCCTGGTCGACCCTTTCAAGAAAAACCAATTTCAGTAACCTTCTAAAGGCACTTTGCACTTTAATCAATAATCAATACCATGTATGTTACAACCCCCTCCATAAATGAATAATGATTATTTCAGTTCTTTCCCCTATGTGTTTCACTTAACCCTGATTTTAAATCAGATAAAACCGGCTTCCTGGCCAAGAAAAACAAGCTTTGAAACACTCAGAATCAAAACAGTTCTCTAACAATTCTTGTGTCAAATTTACATTTGAATGATTGCATCTCATTTCTGCATCTCCAACTTGCTTGTGTAAAAAAAACGTTCATTTCAGGATTTTTACTTGGACGTTTTAGATAATAAGTCTGTCACAAACATCAAATGAAAATATACTGCTTATGGCCATCAAGTAATATGCGAAAGGCATACACTGTCATCTATCTCTCCAAGCCAGCAACAAATTCTCCATCATAGTCTAACATATCTGATGCATCCAACAAGGTATATAAATGAAATTTGATTCATCAAAAACATCAAATCCTGAAATTAAATGAAGTTTCAGCTGTTTTGAGAGGCAAGGGTTTCTTTAAATGTTTCTAATCGGCTTGTGTGACAAGTGACAGGTGAGAAATTTGGAGGCAACTAATGATGATTATGATAGTAATGACCTTGGCTAGATTATAAATATTTCAACGACTGTTGATATCAGAACTCCAACAACACAAGACCCTTTTGCTGGGCTAACAGGTTATCCCGCCATCTGCTTCCATATTTAGTTATTGCAGCGACCTCCCCTTGGTCTGGAGACTGGATTTGCAGAAGATATTGTGGTGTTGCTTGCTCAAATAGCACCCAGGACGATCACATGTATTGCACTCTTTTGGAGAACACTCGATATCAACTTGGAACACTAAATCTTTATGCAAGAAAAATTACATTCAAAAGACCTAGGGATCATAACAAATGGGAAAAGGATATCCGAACCTACCAAACAGTGACAACAAATTACAAGAACAGCAGCTTAAACTACACCAAGTATATAGAACTTCTAGTATATGTTCCTAATATAAATTTGATCAATAAGACCCTCTGATTTCAGTGAAGTGAGCTTAAGCCAACTGAACACCAGATACTGCAAAGCTCATGGAATATGCCTTGACCAACAGCGAGAGAGAAAGCATCCAATATGCATATTCTACAGCAAAGCAACTGAAACATTAACAATTTTCAGAAGTTAGGGCACAGTACTAGATCATCCTTGCCCAAATAAAACACGTGTGCCTCTCATATCTTGTTTAGAGTGAAAAACCATTTTTTTTCCACTGGAATAAACATGTTACATTTACCACTATTGATTCTAAAAAGAAAAAACTCATGGTATGTAACATATACAATACATCCTCATTTTCAGAGACACCCATCATCTCCCTGCTTATCATTGCTTGATAAACATTACTAGTTCATCAACAGAGAAACAGAGATGCAGATCAGGTTTACGGTAACCCAAAAGAAATGAAAGAGTACTAAACAGGAAAAATTAAGATCTGGATTCAACCAATGAGTAAAAGACTAAACAGACTTCATATCAACAAGTACTTAAAACAGCAAACAAACAGACCAAAAACAGAATGCCACATAAGAGAAAGATGAAAATGTAAAGACAATGAATATCCCACTGAACAAACTAACAGATGTAAATACATACATATCAAGAGCCAGTAACATAGAGAATTACATATCCAGATCACTTTAGGGGGGAACAAGAGCAACCTACTCAATACCCTTTCTAAAGACAGAATTAATTTACTTTTAAAATAGTCATTCTCCTTTTAAGTACGTACAAGCAGAACCCTGGTCTTACAACAACACGAAAGGTAAGTCTCCTTTCTGTTATTTCTTTTTCTTCTTTTCTCAACAAAAGAAGCGTGACTCATAAGAAACCCGACCGACTAATATCCAAATAAAAATTACAAACATCCTCATCTGCATTCCATTCCCAATTCAAGACGCTAGCGACCATTCAAAGCTACGACCTAGACTCAAACACACATACAAAAAATTACCCTGAAAACTCGGAAGAACAAGTCCCGATTCCCATGCATCAAAATCCTAATTTCCCAAAAAACTAAACTTAATCACTTAAAATCCCTAAAACATACCCCTATGAAATACGAATTCATCTATAAAAAAACAAATCTTTCTACGACGATACAACCGACCTTGAAAAATACTTTCCGCGAAACACAAATTCAACTCACTCTTAACACTAATAACATAAATTACCAATCAAACAAACACGAAACGCATGAATCCACATCGGTGTAGAGCATAACAAACAAGACCTGCTTACCTAAAGCGCAAAAGACGGAGATTGAGTTGAAGACGAGAAACAATACGTGCCCTAATCCATAGATGGAGCAAATAGAGAAAGATTACTGTAAAAATGTGAACCCTAGAAAAGCGTTAACATAGACGAGTAAAAGCTTGGAGTTGAGACGTGTACGCATTTATAGAAACTATTTGGGGCCGAAATTGGCGATGAGCCCATTATACGTGGCAGCTTTTCAGCCCTTGGGCTTATTCCTTTCTCCTGGAATTCTCCTCTTTTAATTTCTTAAAAAAAATTATTCAGATAATAAATTATTATTAACAACCACAAGAATGGTGTCTGATTGGTTTGAGTTTGGTTCCAAAAGTCAAAAGTATCAGGAGGTCCCAATTTCAAATCCAATAAGTAATAAAAATTCTCTTGTGGTCACGGAAGTTCAAATGCGGTGACTCCGGGCTATCTGCAAAGCAGGTGGTCGTCCTGAGATTAATCAACTCACATAACGGGTTGGATATTCATGTTAATAAAAAAAAAATTGACCATTTCAAAATTCTCCTAAAATATATTCAATTATTTAAGTTTATATAACTAAAGTTGCATATGCATCGGTTTCGAATCGTTCTGTTCAAAGTTTGTGTAAGGTTGTTCGAGAAATGTTTGGGTCTGTCTAGATTTGGCAACGTAAAAACCAAACTCAAACTAGCAGTATTTCGAACCAGTCAAGTCTGTAACAAGTCCGGTCTTGATCTAATCCAATTCAGTATAAATTTGAGCTGTTGATTCGCTTTAGAAAATTAGTGGGTATAAAAAATAACAGGTGGAATTGATCTTTATCCGATATGATTCAAAAATCAGGTCCGAAAAATGACCAGTGATCCACATTGGCCTGTATTGATAATGTAGTGGATTGGTACGGTTTTATGCGGACCAATCAAAAAGTTGATCACACTGTATAACCACTTAAATGGTTGGATTCACATACTTATTATTAGTAATGTTAGGTTATTTACCAGCATATTCCTAAATTGAAACGTGGCGCCTATAAGAAAATAAGGCGTGTCTTCTCCATCAGCAATTGCTTTTGGCGTAGTGGTAAGCGTTTAGATCCTAACTTGTGGTATCAGAGCAGGTCATGGGTTCGACTCTCATGAGGTGCATAATAATGCCAAAGGCATGCTGTACAACCATTGTCTTCTAGCGAAGATCTTGTTAGCACTGGCAGATGCTGGGGGGATTGTTGGATCATTGACCAACATCTTCTTAAATCAAAACGTGGCGCTGACTGCTAAACTATAAGGAAATAAGTTGCGTCTTCTCCATCAGCACTTGCTTTTGACGTAGTGGTAAGGGCTTAGATCCTAACATGTAGAATGACAATTTAGCAGTAGCAGGATTTACGTAATACCTTTACATTTGGACTAAAATGGGAAGAACTAAATAATAGTCCAAGCTTGGGACTGTATTAAAAATTACGTGTCTTTGATCGAAAACAAATCTTAATCAGTTTAAACACTTTTTAACATAAAATCGTCTGTTTCATATTACGGAATGAGAAAGAAAATATAAACAAGAATATGATTCCAGATGGCAACTGGGGTCAGTGACAGGGAGTATCGAGGAGCCCCATCCCCACTAGAGAATATGATTCCGTTGCTCACCCCTGTCATCATCGAGACCAGGGTCCATGACATAATCTTTCTCATGCATTAAATCAAGCAGGTTATGAGCAGTTTAAAAGAATACGTCTTTCTGCATACATATGGATCAAAGTGTTACAGATATATAAATTATATTCAACAGGAGACCTGATTACATGTTCGTAACTTTTGGTACAAACGTATAAATGTATTTATCTCCTCAACACCGTCATCAAACAACACTGTTTGTTTATGCTTGTATTAATGTATTAAAAAATACGAATTTGGTTACATCACATAAATGATCAAATCCCTTTCTATAAGTCAACATTTTATTACTTATAATAGGAATTTAAGATTTAACATCAATAATACACATTTCCCAACAAGGATCTGATGTACATGCTGACAAATAGAAAAGTTCATGATTAACGCCTAGTGAGTTCAAGTAGTTTTCATCTTTAATAATAAAACGGTAAAACTGAAAAAATGTTATTTAAATCACAGTTTCCAATATGAAATGTATTTAGTATAAAAACAATATCCTTTCTGAAACCCGTTTTTTTGGTGGTGAAAACTCGATGATCAAAAAAGCACCCATTTTAATGTGAAATTAAACTCAATACTCACCCAAAACGTATGAGAATTAATATCATATACTGAAATCATGGATGGAACTCTATTATCCAAAACATCAAAACATGGATGAAATCTTATATGCCAAAACCATAAATTATGGATACACTTCATACCCAAAACAACACCGAAAACATGGATATTATACTATCCAAAGATAACACCTTTCGGTGACGGGGTAGACCCGTATCCATCGAATGTGACGAACACAATGGTAAGCCATTAATTTATGTTAAAGAGCTCCACTACGGATCAATGGTCAACAAGTTCAACCACCCACGTCTATACCTCGCTTGGGAACTCCGATGATCCTATATATGCTCATTCACTAGAAATTACGTCATATTGATCAATAGTTGTAGTCCAACACTATAAGCTCGCATCACGTTGCCCCCGATAACCCAATGCCTATTTATAGCTATATAATATGGGAATAAACATCCCATCAAACCGACTCAGAAATTACACCTTATGGTCAATGGTAGATGTTCGAATGCAAGAGCCCACACCATGATGCCCCCCAATGACCCAATGCCTATTTTTGGCCCAATAGGGGAACAACCATCCCATTTTAAAAGAACAACACCGACTCCTATGTTTATGAATCCATTGTATTAGAGTCTACAATTATACATTACATGACCTTGATCGAATGACCAACATAGTTAAAGCACGTAGCTTATAATTAAATATGACATAACTGCATATAACTCCAAAAGCTCGTCATAGAGCAAATTAAACCGGACAAACATCCCCAAGACTCATATGAGTCAAAACTGAGCCAGTAGCTCATCAACTCAATTGACTATCCAATAAAAGTCATTGTAGACAATAAAACCGTATTTAACCAATGATTAATTCAAAAACCTGTCATTTTGTTTTCCCAAATGAAATCATACTATTTATATTTTCAAAATGCCTCATGTACTAAATACGCACTTCCAACTGGTTTATAAAAACCAGTTACACAAAAGTGTATTTACATCAAAAGACCTCCATTTAAACAATAAATCATCAAAAGAACATACTAATGTGTTTTATTTATTAAAATATCCAAAAACCCCAATATTTATACTTCTCGAGATTCTATAAAACCAAATGTGTAAAATATGCAAATCTATCAAGTAATCGACAACATTTGATAAATCTTAAGGTAAACACTTCAAGAGTCCAAAATAAACAGTTTTTGGCATGTGCACAATTTTCATTAAACAGCTTGAACTCATCTTGTTAGGTTAAGTTAACCCTAGATTCCAAACACAAACTCTAACTTCCCAAAGACGAAGATTTGAGATCTCCAAGCAAGATCCTTCTAAGAAGACTTTTTCAAAACCACCAAGCAGGCTAGAAGATATCAGATAAATTTCATCCCCAAATACTAGCAATTTTTCGTTCCAAAATGTGACTGTTTTTACATAAAACTCTCCCAAAGATGAACAAAATCGAATATGGTTAAATCACACGATTCAAGTCCCAAAATAGCATTTGTGTAATTAAAACACATTTTTGAAGATCCAACATTTACTAGCAAAAATGATAAAAACGCCCAAATCTCCCAAAGTACCCAAAATTGTTCAAGATCCAATGATATGTAAAATACACCAAGATGGATGTTTTAGGAGACTAAGGGGCTGTTTGGCAGTTGCTGAATGATTTAGTACAGAATAGTTAAGAGGTCAGAATGGTTAAGTGCTGAATGAAATAATGTTGTTTGGTAACTGTTCTCTGAATGACAATAAATTACCATTTTAACCCTCTCTAACAAAAACCCATTATTCCATTTTAACCTTCACTTTTTGTTCCTCTTTGCCCTMWTCGATGGCTTCAATCWGTGAATCATCATCGAGAATCATCATCCGATGAATCATTGAGAATTATCTAAACCCTAAACTAAATTCTTGCCCTTGTTCAAGACCGGCAACGAGAGGGTGGGGGAGGGGCTGTGAAGACCGGCGACGAGAGGGTGGGGGAGGGGCTGTGAAGACCGGCGATGTGTTATCTTCACCGTTAGGGCTCAATGGATCGATAGGGTTTGCAACTCGATTTGTTAGGGAAAGACGGTGAACAGAAGAACGAACAATCGTGGGGGATACGATGGTGGAGGTGAAGATACAGAGATGCAGAGATGCGTGAAGAGCGCGGCTGGAAAAGAGGGGTGGGAAGGGTAACCGGTGATGGCGACCGACGAAGCTGTGGAGGTGACCGGCGACGGCGATGGCGACCGGCGATGGCAACCGGCGATGGCGACGTGCGTGAAGAGAGGGGTTGGGAAGAAGGGTTGGGAAGGGTAAACTTGGAAAAATAGATGTCTGAATGGTTTAGTGGTACCCTAGATGCAAAATGGTTAAGAGGGGGATTGTAACCATTAAGAGGCATTTTTTTTTTGCCAAACAATCTCAACCTCTGACCGATTAAAGAGGTTGACTCTTAATGTCACCATTAAGAGCCAAACAAACAGCCCCTAAAATGAAGCATTTTGACAAGTATAAAAGTTCAGAAATGTCAGAATGAACTCTCAAATGAATTTTTAAGAAAAATTCAAAAATATGATCAACAACGGTGGAAAGACGATGAAGAAGATGAAGATCTTGAATTTCAACCTACAACACTTGAATCTCTAGTTGGCAAGATCTCATATGCTCTTGAAAGAAAAAGTCGATTTGGAGGAGGAAATGATCAAGGACCGAAAAAGAGAGAGAGAGAGAGAGAGAGAGAGAGAGAGAAGTGAGTTGGTGAAGAAAATAATGAATAAAAAAAACCAAAAACGGGATTTAAGGGGTTCCACGCCTTGACCCGTTTTTAGCCCAATTTTTTAAAAGGGCTCGTGCCCATGTAGCTAAAAACCTCGTGGCCGAAAGCAATGAAATTTTTGACCCGTTTTGAATTTTCACCAAATGCGATTCCCAACTGAACCAAAACTCAAAATACTTCATCAAGGTTATTTTAAGGTTAAAATACTTAATAAAAACTTGAAATTATACTTACCCAAGAGATCCACGTGTTACATATCATCCCGACACATTTAAAAAAAATTATATAAAATAACAGTAATATAATTTCATTGGTGAAAAGAGATTCTCGTTTTAAATTTTAGAAAGATCTTCAAATTAACTTGGAGTTTTCTTTTGTTTTTCTCTACTTTTGAAAACAATACAGACAAGAACAAAATATTTAGTTTTTACTGTTTTAAAGAATCTGTTAGAGATGATCTAACATATCTACGTTATAACATAAAAAATTCTCAAATTTTTTAGGGTTCCATTATTCTTAATTTATATAAGTTATATTCTTTTTTATATAGAAATTGCAGATTTATTAATTGGGAAAGCATTATTATTAAAATACTTTTTACTAATAAATAAAAATTGAGGTTACAACCACAAGGGTGGTGTCTGATTGGTTTGAGCTTGGCTTCAAATGTCAAAAGTACATGGAGGTCTCAGGTTCAAATCCAAGGAGGAAAAAAGAATTCATTTATGGCCACGAATATTCAAATGCGGTGACTCCGGACTATCTGCAAAGCAGGTGGTCGTCCTAGAATTAGTCGGCTCGCATAACGGGTTGGATATCCAGGTTAATAAAAAAAATTGAGGTTACTATAACATCTATAGAAATTATTGAGGAACTATTATTAAGTTTTAAAAAAAAATTAAAAAGTATTATTCAATTTTCAAAAAATTTGAGAAAGTATTATTAAGTATTCAAGAAATACATACAGATAAAATTTAAAAAGTAAATTTATAAAAAAAAAAAGGGTTTTCAAGAAATTCTAAATAATGGATAATAAACTAAGAAAATATCCAATTTTTTTAATTAATTATTATTTTTTATTAATTTAAATATATTAATAAATACATGATGAGCAAAAAACTGCGAAAGTTCGTATCTCAACGATAGAAAATTTCGAGTATTTTTATGATACTTTTATACAATTTTATAAATAAAAAATGACTGGATACGAATTGAAAAACCTATGGAAAAACAAGTCGTCCAGTTACAACTTACAACGTCGGATTGAAAAACCTCTCGAGATTGTGAAAACCCTCAAAGGAACTGAAAACCTCTCAATACACACCATTGTCGATTTTACAGAGTTTTGAAAGATTTGGAATTGAATTTCATTCACGCTTTTGGTTTAAAAGAAAGTCTGGAATTGAAAACATTGAAATCCTACAAATATTAGATTAGAAATCCCATGAGTTAGTTTGCATTTCATGGGATTTCATAGGATATGGTGTTTGGGATTGTTTATTTGAAACAACTTATGTTTTTCTACAAAAGTACTTATCAACTTATTACAAGTCAGAAGAGTTTAATTTCTTCAAAAACTCCTTACCAGTTTGACACCGATATAAGATGTATCCATCTATGTTGGTGGGACATTCTTGTCGATTGTAATTTGCAAAATCAACAAAATTTTAAAAGCAACTCAATTATAATAAGTGATGTCTTATCTTTGCGGTTTTTAAATTCGAGGATTCCTCGGCCCTAATCAATTCACGGGTTTTTCAGTTAAATTGGGTCTGTAAATCGAATACTGACTTTTGCCATCTCTAAACATTGTTAATGATTATATTTTCATTAGCTATCTAAACCAAACAGTATCAATGATCTTCATTCTTATTCCCTATAGCTTACTACCTCGACGCCTCACACCCTCACTTTTCTCACATTCTCTTTATAATAATTGGGATTATTTATATTATCTTATAAAGCAAATTTAACAAAAGTCTTAAAATACTAAATGGTCAAGATACCTTTTGTATCACTTTTTCACTTTTTCACTCCCTCTTCTCCTCACATACACTCACCCCCTCATATACAATCACCCCCTCATATACAATCACCCTCCTACAACCATTTTTTTAAAATTATAATTTTAAATTTACATTTTATACCCCTATAATTAGTTAATTAATTTACTTTACGTCATTTACTTTTAAATGTTTCATTTTAAACATTTATCAAATTAATATACATAATCGTATATCAATTAAAACATGTTTAAAAAATACATTTTTATTTTAACAAGTTACACCATTATAATC